TTAGATCCACAATTCGGTCCGATATAGAAATTAGTTATAAAGATATTAATTAAAAACCTTAAAAAGCATAATTGTTTTACCCCTGTGTGTTGTTTATTCCGCTAATACGCAGCAAGAAAAAAAAGAAGAGGGGAAAATTTTGTTTTTCGCACGGCCAATTATATGTTATGTGTCTGAAGGTTGGCAAACCGTCTTATTTGTTTGTGTATACCCCTCAAGGATTAACCAAAAATATTGTGCATATATTAAAAAATATTCCTGTTATGAATATATATATATATATATATATATATATATATATATATATATATGTAGCTCGAGTTTTATCTTTTTATGATTTAATTAAAACAAGTTGAAATTCCTATTCAGAATAGCTTCTACTATATTCAACTTCGTTCATAGCTTCTACTATATTCACTTACTCACACGCAATCGATAGGTCGAATAGTAATAACTGTGCATGTGATGAAGTCAGGAATTGTAATAACTTTTTTTATAAAATTTTTCATCAAAACGGTCCAGATTGGTATAACTTATTCAAAAAAGTTTGAAATTTTCGGATTTAAGAGTAGTCGGTACGGCCTATACCGACAATGTTAAATTGAGCCATTTTAGGAACCTGTTTCTCAGAAATTGTTGAATATAAAAACTTCAAATTTTTTTGGCTGTATAATAATTAGGCTTTTTTATTTAAATAACAGTAAAATGTTTCAAATATATTGCTTACTTATTTCAAAAAAATTCATCGTAAAAGTATCGCTTTGAAATTTGTGAAAATTGTAATTTTTTTTACGATAACTGCTTCTGAGCAAAGTATTTTAGGAAAATCTCCAAGAAAGTAGCTCTATTATATGTAGTTACATATTATTTATGTGCAGTAAAAATTGCAAGTATATTAATTTTTTAGATTCTTTGAAAAAGGTACACTTAGTTTGAAAACAATCATTCTGAAATACTTGCATTTTAAGTGTAAAAAGGCACTTAATTACAAAAATAATGAATTACAACATGTATTTGCCCTATTTTATTAAACATTAGTAACTTCAAATTTTTTAAACATAAAATAGGAAACAAAATAGCCTTAAAATGCTCAGAAAATACATATATAGTAATTTTCAGTTTTTGTTCAACGAGATCTTTTTAGCATTTCGCATCAATTTTCACAAACTATGTAACAATCTGTGAAGAATTTTTAGCTTCAATGCATTACAAATGTCAAATTTGACCTTATAACATCATAAATATATAGTAAACACGAATCAATATGTAAAAGTCATGATTTGGGAATATGTGATTTTACGACGTTAGAAAAATTTAACTATGGATTTGTAACTTTCCATGCAAACACAATTTCTAAAAGTTTCAAAATTCAAAATTTTCTCTAAACTGTACAAAAGATTTCAAAAAAAGTCAAAAATAAAGCTGTTTTTATGTTTTTAAACATGAAATTTGTGTATTTTTATGCATGCAACAAGCTTCTCGCAACGACAAAAAGCATTACACATCTGAGTTATAATTAGTTAGCTATTATTGAAAAACCTTTGATTATTAAAGCTTAAAAACTTGTCTAAACAATAAATAAACAATAATATTTGCAATGAAGTGAAATATTTAAAATATATTGTTTAGTTTTCTTAAAAACATATGTAATATAAAAAATATCACTCTGAATTTTAAAAAATTGACATTTTTGTCACGATATATGGAAATATTTTGGGGAAACTCCTCAAAAAACTCACAGGAATATCTATAGTTACATATCAGTAATATGAGGGAAAAAAATTTTATGTACATTTATACCTTATATTCTGAGAAAAAGATGAATACAGTTTTAAAAACATCATTTTTGAAAAAAATTTAATTTTTACTATAAAGTGCCATTTTATAACAAAAATCATGAATTACAGCATGTATTTGTCCCATTTTATTAAACATTAGCATCTTTGCAATTTATTTTGCTAGTAAACAAAAAAGTCTTAAATTGTCCAGAACAGCATTTTTCAGTTTTTTTAACGAGAAAACATCAAAATTTTCTCAAATATTGAATCAATTTTTAAACAATTTGTAGCTTTCATACATTACAGATATCTAATTTGAACAGAAAGCATCATAAATATAATGTGAAATTATATCAATATGGTTTTGGTGTGAATTTGAGATGGTATTTAAAAATACCTGATTATTCAACGTTTCTTAAGTTTTCGTTAGGTTTTCGTAACATTATCATTAGGTCTTGTTGTTGCAGACAGAGTTTCTAAGTTTAAAACCTTCAAAAGATACTTTAAAATGGACAAATGATTTCTAAAACAGACAAAATAAAACTGTTTCTATGAATTAAACATGACATTTATGTATATTTGTGTATGTAACAAGCTTCTCGAAAAGACAACAAACATGACATTAAATGTATCATCTCATACCTTTTTCTCAGAAACTATTAAACATAAAGACTCAAATTTTTATTTATATTAATTAGACATTATATTTATACTGAAGTGAATTTTTTAAAAATAATATCATTAGTTTTTTCAAAGACAAACTTTTAGTTCACCGAACAATTATTATTATGAATTTATTAAAAGTTGTAATATTTTGTTATGATAACTGATTTACATTTAAATGTTTTAAGAATATTTCAAAAATGTCACTTCAGTAAACACAATTGCATTTAAGAAACATACACACAGTAAATTTACACAATTTTAAAAAGATAAATTTTAAACAGGCATACAGTAAATTTACACAATTTTAAAAAAATAAGTTTTTGAAAACAGAATTTTTTATAAAAAAAAAAACCTTACCTTTGTATTAAATTTAATCCAAATTTTTCTTAAATATCACATAACTTCAAGTATTTTTAAAATATTTTTAGAGTTTTTCTAAGTCTTTTTTAAAGTTTTAATTAGTTATTATTACTAATTATTTAAACTAAATTTAAAGTGAAGAACAGGTTTAAATTTAGGTAAAATCACTAAATATTAAACATAGCATTCAAATTAAAACACACGCTTACAAATTTGGCACAAATTTTTTTTGCATATCTAGCACAGTTAAATTTACAGTTACTATACAGGTATCTAATGCGTATTAATAAAAATAAATTGAGGCTTTGCAACTTTGCTTCAGATTTAAAAAGACAATGTTACATTTCTATCTGTCAAATGGGCGTGGTTCATGAGCTGATTATTTTTTAAAATCATTTTAAAGTACTTCTAATTCATATAATGGCTTATATGTTATATCAATGGAAAGCTCCCGATTAGGGGCTTATAGAAATCTCAAAATCGATTTTTAAAAGGGGTCTACCCTACTGACTGCTCTTAAGACGTGTGTACAGGAAAACGCCTGTCGGGCCCGCTAGTACTTATTATATAATTAAGGCCCTCATAGGGGCTTATGAAATAAAATTAAGAATTCTAATCGAGATATTCTTTATTTTAATTGATAAAGTAAACTTGAGTGATTGATTTTCGATTGTGCTTTAAAGGGGCTTTAAATCTTTAAATTTTGATTCGTTTTCTCAGAATTATTTCCCTCTCCTTTCAAAACATAGATCTAAACCCTACACACAAAGACTTTATTCATATTTTAAAGTTTATCGAATATAAAATACTTTTATGTGTGTTAAATATCAAAGTTCACAAAATAACTATAAATCTATGCTGACGAATGAAAGGGTCCATATAAATGTAAATGGAAATATTTAGTATCGTCTATTCCCCCCCCCTTTGCTTAGTTATGTGTGGCCATATAGTGTTTGGTTTTTGACCTGATTTCTCCTTTACAATTTCAGTACAATTGTACTTTCAGCTTTTCAATTGCTAGTATGTTTACGTAAATTATTATATTCATTGAATCACATTCATTGCATATGTCAGTTTACGGCATTTGCAAGAAATGCATTCTTTTGAAAAAGTTATCTGTTGTTTATCATTCAAAACTAGTTTCTTTGCAAAAAGAAATCACAATAGTGCTCCCAGTAAGAGGTTTCTTAGTATCCTAAGGACAAATATTCCATACTTCAGTTATTCTGTTAGCCACAGGAACTATTATAGTACAGAGGAAAGAAAATATGTTCAGTCACATTGCACAACCCATTTTGTATCAGTTATTATGCGTTAGCTTTCAAAGGTTTTTTTTTCTCTTTTATCGGTAAATGGTGAATACAAGTTTTTATTTTATTAGTAAACTATTGAATTCAGCTGCTATTCATGGAGTGAATAGAAACAAATGTTTTGATATTCTTCTTTTGTAAATATGTTAGCTTAATATTTAATACTCAGGAGCTACAACTTATGCTTCTTTTACCACAGAACATATGTATGGGTTTTATTAGTACTGGATGCATACATAGGAATACTATAAAACATGTGTAGCAAATAATATATTAATTTAAGAAGCAAAATTTTAATGAAGATTTTTTAAAATTCATTTTATACTTTTTTATTTATGGAATAGGTACATTATAATGTCAATTACTATTTCAATTTCGTACGTTCTCGCCTTTTGCGACTTATTAAAACACGAGAATTCGCCAATAGCACACACAGACTTCTCTTGCACAAGGGGAGAACTTTCTGAAAACTACGTAGACGAAATCGCTGATGAGTAATCTCTATGACAAAAATTAAAAATATGTTGCTCTGTGGGGGATGAACCCCCAAATCCCACCTCTGTGTACGCCAATAGAATTTATGTTTCTTTCTCTTCCATACACAATGGGGTTTTTTTTATTGCTGACTGACTACGTTCGGAACCGTGATTTTCAAAAGGCGTACAAATATATATAGGCGGGGTTTGTTGTTGTTGTTGTGTGTTTATTACTGAGATACATATGAAAGACATGAGATAGATGAACAGAAACATATAACACAATCAGAAAGAACTCAGATTTTATTACAAACGATGATCCCAGCAAAGAAGGGAAGAGATACTTTGCTCTTCTATAGAGACAGGAATCCATTTAAGGCGAAAGTCCGATTTCTTTTCCCGAATATACATCCATTCCTTACTCGGGATTCGAACCCGAACCCACTCGACTACAAGTCGAGTGCCATAACCACCATGCTGGGTGGAGTGGCATAGGTGAGGTTTCTCTCTCTCTCTCTCTCTATATATATATATGTATATATAACTCCACTTTTATATATTTATTGTTTTATATATTAGCTGTCCTAAGTCAGAAATGTTTATTTATAATATTGCAATATTCATTTTATAATTTTTAGTCTCGGTTGCTCATGTGTCCTTCATTGTGTGATTTTCCTACTGTCTATGTGTTTTTCGAATGTGATTGATGGATGTTTATTTCTCGTTGTAGAGAATTAAACTATATATATATATATATATATAGTATATATATATATATAGTATATATATATAGTATATATATAGTATATATATAGTATATATATATATATATATATATAGTATATATATATATAGTATATATATATATACATACAGTCGAACCTCGATATTACAAACTTCTATATTGCGAATTTTTCTATACAGTGAGCTTTTTTCCTGGAACCAAGAACATTACGATTTTCATCGTAAAATAACCTCCCAATAGCGAGGTGCTTTTTTTATGCAACGAACTTTTTCTCTTGTGATTAATTTTTTTCCTCCTATTTTTTAAGTATTGCTCGTCATTTCAAATTCTTCGTTCTTATAACACATTTTATGGAGGTAATTAAATCTTGAACTGGTTTTATTAAGTACCTAACTCGCTGAGAGCAATAGAATTCTGGGCGTTATATCTAAGAAGTGCAACCTTTAACCCCGTTGCCCAGCTCACTGGAAACATCTTCGGTATTTTCTTTCACTCTCAATGGAGTTGTCTCGTGTCTCCGTGTCTTTCACTAGTCTCCGTTCATTTATAGTGTTGGTCAGTCATCCTGGTTACTTCGTTTCTAGTAGCTCGAAAATGTCAAACGTAAGTGCTTAAGCATCAAAGAAAATTTTTTAATTCTTCAGGAAGTAAATAAAGGCGTCAAGAAACTTTCCTTGCAGTTTTTCTTTTCTTTTTTGATAGGTAAGATACATAAAAAATAAATATTAATTTACAAAAAGGTGTGAATAATTACTTTTTTAATGTATAGTGTGTATGAATTTAAAATATTTTTATGTGGTTTATAAAACCTCTGAATAGCGAATTTTCTATATAACGAACTTTTTTTCGGGATTTAGCGACTTCGTTATATAGAGGTCCGACTGTGTATATATATATATATATATATATATATATATATATATATATACACAGTCGGACCTCTGTCACTATATATATATATATATATAGTGACAGTTGAATTAGAATATACATATAAAATTGTTTTAAGAATATTAGAAGAAAAAATATTTAAATACAATCTTTTAGCACAATATGATGAAAGAATGACATTTTCAAAACATTCATCTTTTACAAAAAATGCTTCTATAATAATAATGTTTTGCCTTTATGTAGCGAGGACTTTTGTACCGGGATGGGACTAAAATATTTTTAAAAATTCACATTATTTTCGGAGTTAAGATCAAATGAAATAATAACGGTGTTTTTGTTAAAAATGTTCTAATCTGATAAAATAAAATAGGAATAAATCCACTTCTAAACAACATATTTCAAAACTTTTAGCTCAATCCCGGTATAGAAGTCTCAGCCATAAATAGGCAACATATTACTATTATAGAATCTTTTTCATAAAAGGAGGTTTTGAAAAAATGACATTCTTTTCTCATTTTTTTTTGCCAGAAAATTTTCATTTCAGTATTTTTTTCTTGTGCGTGCTATTATATTCTTAAAATAATTTTATATTTACATTTTAAATCAGCTGACACCAAATATCAAAACACAATTATCTATTGATGCACTTTTTCAAAATCATCGTTTCGAGCGTATATATATATATATATATATATATATATATATATATATACAGTCACCTCAACTTACAAAACATTCTTATCCTTTACTACTCGGTAGAAAGCTTATCTTTCACAAAAATTTCAGGATGATATTTTAATATTAATGTTTCTAAGATTAAACACTAATTTCTTGCTTCACAGAACAAATTAGTATATATAATTCACATTTGTATGTCTGTAGCTCTGAATCGTATACATAAATTTCATATAACAGGAGAAGGATGATTTAAAAGTAAACAAATATTACAAATCAAAAAGATATAAAATCGGAAAAAGTTTGAATCTAAAATAACAATAAAATATATGAATACACCGAATTGTAAAATTATTTTTTACTAAAAATATCCGAGACTTATGACTGTAATGTAGGGTTAAATGGGCTTTATATTGAATCTAATTTTCCCTTTCAGCAGAAAATTTGTACAATAATATAGGATATAAGTGAATGGGAAAAAAATAAATATATTGAATAACTGCTAAGACTTAAATTTAGTCATAAATTTGAATAGAATCTAAATTGATAAATAAGACAAATTAGGAAAAGTATATTATTTACGAAGAGAATAAAAATCGTACAGTAAAACACATACAGTATGAATCATTTTTAAAAATTAATCAGAATCTAAAAAATATACCTAAAATATTCAAAAAGTAAAAATAAAAAACTTATAAAATTAACAAATGGAAAAAATGGCGTATGGATGTATACAAGAAATTTAAATAACGATTTTAAATGGATACTCTGTGTCTGTAATAATTGCGCCATCTCTATAAAAATTGTGTGAAAAAAGAACTAAGATTGTGGGCAAACTGCAAAGGATAATCAGCCATGAACGAGCGTGATGTGAAAAGGGTCAACCTTACTGTATGTAGTCAGGAAAGCCAAACGTTATCAGTTTTCTTAACTTGCGAAAAATAAAAGTGAGAGATATAATTTAATTAAATACTTTCGAAAAATATATTTTTTCTTAATTTAATTAAATTCCTTACGATACAGTTCAGTATAGTTCTTGATAAATCCTGGAAGATATGTTTGTTCTTGAACTTTTGCGCATGAGTATATGTATGTATGTGTCGATTAGAGTACAAATTGCTTTGTCAGTTGCCAAGTTTTAAGTGAAATAACTGGACATTTTTGCAATATGTAAACTTTCTATCGCCATTTATTACAGCATTTTTCAGTTATTTTAGCTCATTCGTATTAAATGGATCAATACTGAAGTACTCTGATAAAATTCAAGATTTAGCGAAGTCTGTCTGGTTTGGAGCCCTGGAGACTTAAAAAGTTAAAACACATACGAATATTTATTAATATAAGAATATTAATTTGCATAATAATTTCCGTGGATTGTAATAAGCCGAATAATAACAGACGGCATCTGTCGACTATAAAAATTAACCACAGTCTAATTTCTGGAGGACAATTTTTAAAGTATTTTATTTTCCTAAATATTAATGTCTAAATGAAAAATACATTAACACAGGACACCCAGTGGGAAATAGAATTTGTGTAAGCTGCTTAGGACAGGAAAGCCACGGCTCTATCAAGGGTATGTTCCCTATCAGGGGTAAGGCCATCATATTGTTACGGAAGATATCATGTGACAGACCACTCTCTCAGTTGGGACATCTCCTCTGGTGATGATGTTATCGAAATTAGATTACTCAAAAAAGGTCTGAAAGGTAAATGGCATGGGTAGGACAGTGAAGTCTAGGTTCTGGTAAGAAATATTCTGTTATCTGCTTAAGCTTTTGATGCGTGTTTTAGGAAAGGAATAGGGCAGGGGAGGTGAATCTTTATGGATCAACGTGCCATTTTTTCTAATAGAATGCTTAATGAGGTACAGGCGTGTCGTCAAATAATTTTGACTTGTGATTATTGGGAAAATAATAAAACTAAATACTAACAAAAAACACGAAACTCTTTATTATCTACAGAAAAATACATTTTTGTACTTTCTAGTAATAAATATGTGTTTTAGTTAAACGCGTAGTTCAAATGATATAAAATAACATTGGTGTGATTTCTGCTGTTTCAAATTAGATGACAAATAAATTATATTAGGATTGGGTAAGATTTTACTTTTAGTAGATTGCATGCTGAGTTGGAGTCATCTGCCAAATGGTTCCTAAGATGGTCTTTAGTATTATTCCTTTACGAAAATATGGTCAAAATAGCATGAGCCAGTTTCTTCAAACAGTTAAACGTATCTAAACTCGAATTTATTGTTTCCAAATTCTCGTTACTGGCATTCTTACTTATATTGCTTGTTAACCTTTCTGTTTCCCTCCATTCCAACTTTTTCCTTGTTTCAATAAAGTTTTGAATCCATATTTAACTTGGCTGGAAATCAGTCAGTTGCACTTCAAATTCTTCAATTTCCAATCAATCAAATTGGGGCAAGTCCAGTTTATCAAATGATGTCACGTCAGGGTGAACAATAAAATTGGGCATTTTTGATAATTCTTTGAACTGAGAAAATCTCACTAAAAATTCCTTGATTTAAGAATCATTCGCGATTGCTCGTTTTGATCGGTGGCGTGCCCAAGATATTGTGTTGCGTGCCATTGGTTCGCCATCCCTGGAATAGGGAGTCTTAGCACATACAGAGCTCCCTTTCAATTGTAATTCTATAAATAATTATATTTGTCTTTTTTGCTGTATTTTCATTTAATATGTCTTACTATAATGTATTTAATGGCTGTGAATTGATATAGTAATTTGAAAAAAGTATGGCTGATTAATATGAAGCAAGAAAATTGGAAATTATCACACTGCTTTCCTTTTCATTTTATAAACTAGAATTAAAAATTGTGTGGCTGAATGTGACTGTTAAAATTGCATTCAAAAGCTAATAGAAAATATTTAAGCTATTGTAATGCAAGAACTAAATTCGTTATTTAATTGTACTTTAATTAAAAATTTTCTCTGACAGTTTTATAAAAACCGTTGACTCAAGTAATATTGAATTCTAATTAGAGGTTCTGTACACAAAAAAAAAGTAAGTTCATTTACAGTTTCATTACCATATAAGATAATCTTTTATTATTCTGATGCTAACCATAAGAAGCGCAGCCCACCTAGTTTCATCTAGTTATTAATACGTGTTTCAATAGGGATGGCACTTCCTTTTAATTGCCTGTTTTTGCCCA